ACACTGTTTTGAATGGATGATTCATCATATCTATATGTAAACGCACACGATGCTATGTAATTTAGGACGTGAAGCAATCACGGGGTCTGAACGATGTGTACATTATTGGTATATAACCATCTTCTATCTCTTCTCTCGTGGATTAATGATTATGAGGAAACTTAGACTGCGTCGTCTGAGTAGTGGCAATTACAACCATCTCATGCTGTATGTAATGTGTTGTAGAGGCCAGTAAGAATGTTTTGTTCTTTTATATGCTTTAATAATGATATTCAAGGCTGCCTTTAAAGGAGGCGGCCATATGGTAGGTTACTAACAAGCAACAATCCACGAAAGAGCAACAACTGTGCGTTCAGCAGTTCATTGATAATTAACAAAGAGGCCTCTTCAATAATATAATCTTTGTTCATTGCGCATCACAAGTCACACAATTGCACAGACGAAAGCCCTCGTATCTTTATTCTAAGCAAGGAAAATTTGAGAATTGAAATCGTTAAACCTATCGTCTCTTTCGAGCAGTTTCAGCCTAAGAACCTCTAACCAGGAGGAAAGCAAAGCCACCGACCCACCCGTTATTACCCGACTTCAGTACCAGACAAGATGTGGCTTTTTGCAATTTTATGAAGCGTTCAACCATAAGCAAAGACAGCAGAGAAATCACAAGACTGCAAAAAACCACAACACTTGGGATCATGGAAATGGTTTGATCTTATTTCTTGACTACTTCAGGTCGTACTCGAACACGGACGCAAGCTCCATCTGTAGGAAAAGTGAAATTGGAACAAATATTACCTACAAAAATAGTTAAAGAGTATGGGGATACTTAAATACAATGAAAATCTCTACAATAAACAAACTTAAACAACTTACAGCAGTCAAAGCACCCTCAGAACCCTTATTTCCAGCTTTACCACCAGCTCGATCGAAAGCCTTAAAAAGGAGTGGGGAGGCGGGTGCAAAAAATACAAAACGATCAGAAGTCACGTAGCTCCTTCAAAAACAAATTTCTAGGTTGGATACTTGTTAACAATCAATTCAGATCATATTTACCTGTTCTAAGTTCTCAGTGGTCAAGACGCTAAATACGCATGGAATACCTACAAAGGCATACGAAAATCGCTTAAGTTTCATCTGCCGTCAACTAGGAGATGAAGAAAGAGTAGAACTAAGATGACAACATGGTTATAAATGGTCTCTAGAAAGATGGTTACAGAGATTACTTGTATTGTAGCTATCAACACTGATATTCAAGTCTATCGATAAATTTCAACACTAGTTGACACGGATAAAGTGTAACAGATAATTCTCATATCGAACAAGAACACAGCTCACCATAGCTCCCAACTGCTTAGACCTAAAACCATTATCGTTACAAATCAAACTATTACCAAGGCCTAGCGTGCAACTGAGGGAGAAATATAAACTTGAATTTGGGAAATCATTTTTTTTTAATAAGAAGCTAGGAATGTGCATGTCATAGCACAATTTATATTTATCTGCATCTACTTGTGAATCTAAAACAACCAGGTTCTTATTTTCCTTATCATACCCTGAAATTCCTTAACCCCTCACGGTTCATTGAGGTCAAAACTAGAACAATTAAGCCAACTTCACTGCAATATTTAGTATTTAGAAACTAGTACGATCTTATATATCTCAAGATATGATGGCACCAAAATTCTTAAACATAACAATTGGATTCAAAAGCCATAACCACTATGTTCAATGCTCAACCCTCGAGGATGAACTTATAAAAGAAAAGCAATCCAGAACAAAAATTAATAAGTTGAATTAATAGGCTACAAGAATATAAACTTTTACTAAAGAAAGAAAAGAAAACGAACCTGATTTTAAACCGGCAGAAAGTACTCCAGATGCAGCAGAGTTTACAACGGCATCATAGTGGGATGTATCACCTCTAATCTATAATAAAGAAGTGGTTCATGATAGTAATAAGTGCACCAAAACTAGATTATATAAGAGGACTCGATATATATTACGGGAAATCATACCACAGCTCCAATGCATAAGACAGCATGGTACTTTCCAGATCTCCCAAGCCTTTCAGCGACTACAGGAATATCAAAGCTCCCTGGAACCCAGACAACCTGATATGATAGAGAGGTGAATTACATAGTCAACATGCCAAATAAAGTTAAAGCTGCAAGTCAAAAAGCAGAGGTCAGATTCACATTCTCTCATGCAAATCTGATGAAAGGTGTAGATTTTGCTACCCAACTCTACATAAACCCATGATATCTAGTTAAATTTGTTTACATATACTCATGGCATCGACCAGAATCTATTCACAGAACATATTTATTCACAAGCTTTCACAGAACATATTTATTCACAAGCTTGCTCGCCGTACGCAGTAATCTTAGTGTTGTTATACACCAGTTGGCTGATTTGATCAAATGAAACTCAGTTTCCAATACTGACAAACAAACATAAGGTTTGACTTTCACATATAGTATACTGAAGTGCTTACATCAATATCCTCGTCTTGAACTGAATAACTTTTGAATGTAGACAAAGCTCCCTCGAGCATTGGCCTTGTCACGATTTCGTTGAACCGTCCCACAACCTTCATCAAAGCAAAAAAATATGTCTTCAATAATGCAAGCATGAAATAACAATGTCAGGATTAAATTCTACGAGCCCATTGCTAAAAATGACAATGGGGGAGAGAAAACTCAGTTTAGACTCATGATAACAGAATTCTGCAGCAAAAATGCTAAAAAGAAGTTCAGTTTCATACATCACAAGAAAACAAGGCAAAATCACTCCAATACAATCCCTATAATCTAAAACTCTCATCCACAGGTATGTTTCATTGTAGCCAAGCCGAGAAATTTCTCATTTCCGCAGCCACAACTGTGACTATCACATTCATAACCTTTGAATTCGGTGCAAGCAACAAATCAAAAGAACGCTCATTAGTAGCGAATAATTTACCAGACGAGACTGCATCATCTAGAAGCATGTTTCTTAACTAGACTACGATCTTTTAGGTACACGATAAAGAAACACCACTCACAAATCCGAAATTATAAACAAAAGGCCATTCGAATAGCCTCAAGAACGAACATAACTTCCAGATGTAGCATTCGGGAAAGAAAAAAAAAAAAAGGCAGACAAGGAAGAATTAGAAGAACAAGAAGGCATCAAAAAAAAAAAAAAAAAAAAA